AGGACAAGAAAATATTCAATGACTAGACTATCACAGATTTATAGTTAAAACTAACACGTTACCATAACGCGATATTGCTATACACGAAAATACAATCTTCAAATGAGATACAGATCGCCAGCAACTGAAGGTAGATCACCATATCAGAGGTAAAGTACAGTGCTTTTGCTATCTGCATGAAACCTAAAGTGCTCGCGGAAATAGAAAAACAAATGTCAACAACTGCATGCGGCCCGGTTGAGACGGGAAGATTCATTTGCACGTGCATTGTTATTTAGGGGTCGTCTCAAATCGTGACTTTAATTGTTGGTTTGGGTTGCATTGGTGTTCAAATTTCATTTCTTGGCCGATATCATTAATTTGAAATTTACAATAAGGTATAATTTACATAATAAAACATGTATAAATGTTAATGCTGGTGCATGACTGGAATAAATGCCAACAAAATAGCTTGTGTGTGATATATTAGTAAAAGAAAAACCATTAAAAATATATCAGTTTCTAACTGAAAGAAATGTAGTGCTAAAATTTTATTGAGACATCTAACGGACTTAATATTATTATCATCTTACAAAAACGTACTTATAAATATTTTGCTATTTAAATGGATTGAGTATTTCAGGTGTAGTTGGCAGAAATTCCCGTATTAGTGTATTTCCGCCACACAAAGTGGAGGGTGGCTTCAGGAGTGGGTGATGTCCGTCCGTCCGTCTGAACAATATCTTGAAAGTGAATAAAGATATCACAATTAAATTTAGGAAACATGTGAAGCAAAATATGAATATATAGAAAATTCAAACAATTTTATTACTTTTTTGTACTTTGGGGAAACAATTTGAACGTAAGAAATATCATGGGAGGCTTCGTTGCCCTAAAACATTTTTCAGTTATTGGAAGATGTGAAGCATACGATGCCCAGATTCTCTTCAGTTATTTACTGCTAAGAGTGATTGAGTGAGTGAGTGAGTGAGTGAGTGAGTGAGAGTTAAAATTCAAAGTCACATGGGCAATATTTCAGCCATATTGTGAGTGAGTGAGACTAAAACTAGTTCTTAATTCATAATATATACATATAATATATAAAACCCTGTCAACGAAGGACAGTAAAATTACTAGATTATCACAAAATGAGTTAAAACTAGCTAGCATATATCTTTAAAAGTAGAAAACTATTTTTGGACAATACAATTTAAAAGTGGGCTAGTAATCGCCAACAACTGAAGGTAGATCACCATACTAGGGACCATGGGGACTTACAGTGCCTTTGCTACCTCCATGGACCCTAGCTGGATTTACACCATCCCTTCATCCATTGGCGGTTATGCTGAGATGTAGCCATACATTAAGATGACAAAAATACTACGATTAAAAACCTGGTACACTTAAATTTATTTGAAATGTTTTGGGACTTGGTATAGCCACTTACAAATTCAGTTTCTAATTTAAATCACCAATACTAAAATACATGTATGTACAAAACATATGAATCAAAATTCATGTATCAGTTCTGTTGCTTTTAAAAATTCAATAATAAAATGATAATTGACACTATTAAAAGATCCTTAACAGTTTTTACTTTGAAATATTTATCCCTTATGATGGAAACTTCAAGACAGTCAAGCAGGACATGCTTGACCGTGGTTCTCTCATCACAAGGGATACAAAACGGAGGATCTTCACCTTTTAACAGGTATTTGTGAGTATAATGCGTATGGCCAATGCGACATCTTCAAGTCTGTACTGACAACCCAAATAGGTGTAACCGAAAGAGGGTTTTATTGCATGTAATGTATTTATACCTACCTGGGTGTCCGACTTCTTCTGCATCAGATCAATGATGTAAATTCTAATGCTAGCTTTGTAATCAGAGTATGGGATAAGAAGTGGTGTCACAGATTTGTTGAGTGCTGCCTTGAGCAAAATCGGCCATTGTGTTCCCAGACATACCAAAGGGGCTGGATAACCAACAAAAGACGATGTCGCATTGGAAAGTAGCAAGTTCATTAAATAATTCTATATTTTCTATTAAAAAAGGAATGTTAACAAGAAAGATTTTAATGGCCTGAAGGCATGAAGGAGAATCGGAAAAGATGATGTATTGTTTATATTTACGGTGTTTATTAACACATTTAAAAGCTGTTAATATGGCGTTAGCTTCTGCTGTGAAAATAGAGCTGTTATTGGGCAATCAAGAAGATATTGTTTTGAATCCAATGACAGTGGCACAAGCAACTGCGCCACCATTCTCGGACCTATCTGTAAATGAATGATCCCCTCCCCATTTAGAATTTGAAACCACTTTCAACAAGTCAAGTGCCTTCAGGCATTTAGCTTTAAGGGATTTAATATGTGGCAGAAAATTTAAGTGTGAGTAAAAAATTAGACCAAAGAACTTGGCCTCCTTCACAACTTTGATGGGCGTGCCATCTAGGTAGTTCAGGGTCTTTATGTGGTTTGTATTTACGGCAAAAATGCATGCAATTAGTTTTCGATTTAGAAAAATTTAAAGCCGTTTTCAAGACACCATTTATTTATCTTGTGTAAACACAACTGCATTTGCCGTTCAATAGTATGCATATTTTTACCACGGCAGGAAATATTAAAATCATCCACAAATAACGATCCATCTAGTGAATCGTTTAAAAATGTTAATAATCTATTTATCTTTATACTAAATAGTGTGACTGACAAAATACTGCTTTGTGGTACACCCTGATACTGATTGTAATGATCAGACAGGGTAGAACCGACGCGGACTTGAAATTGTTTGTAATTTAAAAAGTTGGCTATAAATTGAGGCAAACGGCCTCGCAATCCAAAGTCATTTAAATCTCTTAAAATGCCATATTTCCACGTCGTGTCATATGCCTTTTCAAGATAAAAAAAAGATAGACATAGCGTGTTGTTTATCAATTAGAGCGTTTTTAACAAATGATTCCAAATCCACTGAGTGATCGACAGTACTTCTGTTTTTACGGAAACCACATTGTATATCTGTTATAAGGTTATTTGTTTCCGGGCACCAAACAAGTCGATTATTTATCGTTCGTTCCATTGTTTTGCAAACACAGCTACTTTAGTGAAATCGGTCGATAATTTGACGGTTCCCTATGATCACGTCCAGGTTTAGGTATTGGTACTTCTATAGCGTCATGCCATGAGGAAGGAAATTTCCATGACGTCCAAATATCATCAAAAAATATGTAAGAGTGTCTCTAAACATGAATCTGGTAAGCGGTTCAGGAGTTGATAATGTATGTTATCAGCTGCTGAAGCAGTATCGAGAGCTTGATCAAGAGCAGTATTAAGCTCATGTATCGAAAAGGTTTCGTTGTAATCTTCTTCATTGTCTGAATTGAAATTAAGAGATTTCTTTTCTTGTTGTTTTTATATTTTTGGAATTGAGGTACATAATTATACGAGGAAGAATGTTTGGCCAGTGTCTCACCAAGTTTATTTGCAATAGATTTATTAGTCTATAACTGGTTCCCATCTTTCAGATGGTGAATGCTAGGTTTAGAGCCCTTACCATTGATCTTCTGGATCATATTCCACACCTTTGATATTGGTGTGCGCGAATTAATATTTGATACGTAGTTTCGCCAAGAGTAGCGTTTACTCTGCTTGAAAGTATGCCGTGCTTTAGAGCTTTAAATTCTAAATGTGTCTAAATTGTGGACCAGAGGATGGCGACGGAAATAATGCTCGGCATTCTTCTGTGCCTTCCTAGCCTGTTTGCATTTATCGTTAAACTATGTTTTTTGTACATGGGGGATGGCAGAGGACTTTTGGATACACTCGTCAGCTATGCTTTTTAATGCATCTTAAAAACATTTTATGGCATCAGGTTTTTCATTAAAAATTCAGGTTTTTGTTTGTCAGCACAGAGAATTCTATATAAAGGCCAGTTAGCCTTTTTAAAAATCCATCTCGATGATGGAGTGAGTGAGTGAGTTAAAATTTAACGTCACATCGGCAATATTTCAGCCATATCGTGAAGAGAACATACTTGACATTGAAATGGAATATATGTACATTATAAAAACCTGTCTACGAAGGACAATAAAACAACTAAAATATCACAATTACAACTAAAACTAGTGTTGAAAGTTAGAACTGATAGCACTATTTGGACAATACAAGATAAAAACATGCTATAGATCGCCAACAACTGAAAGGAGATCACCATACTAGGGACCATGGCGACATACAGTACATTTGCAACCTGCATGGACCCTAGTTGGATTTACACCATCCCTTCTTCAGCCTTTGGCGATTGTACGAAATATTAGCCAAAATTAAAATAACAAGAATACTACGTTTAAAAATCCTGGTAAGTTTAAATTGACTTTGAAAGTTCTGGGACTTATGTACCCTCTCAGGAGGACAATAATTTTACGATACTTCAACCCCCCATGAGGTCTTGATGATGGAGGAACATCAGATGGATTCACGTGTTTTAGTATTGTTGGGAAATCGTCACTACCACAGAGATCGTCATGGACTGACCATTCAAATTCACTCAATAGGATGGAGTCAGTACCAGACCAGACAAGAGCTGAATATGTTCCTGTGCCAGGATGTAAATACGCATTTGAGCCGTCATTATAAATGCATAAATCATTCTTTGAAATAAATTCCTCCAGTAATTTACCTTTGGTGTTTGTATTAGTGCCACCCCAGAGCGGGTTGTGGCCATTTAAATCACCCATGATTATACAGGGTTTAGGTAGTTGTTCATAAAGAGCGTGCAGATCGGTTAGTTGGACAGCGGATGAAGGCGGAATGTACAAAGACCATAAAGTAAAAGCAACCTGTCACGTAAGTCGAACTGCAACGACTTGAAGATTTGTTTTAAGTGGAACTGAGCTGTGGATAATATTGTTCCTCACCAGGATGGATGATCCACCAGCAGCTCTATCACCCGGAGGAGAAAAATACAGTGGCCATTATTGCGTGCCAAGGATGCTCCAAAGTTCGAAGCTACTGAGGCAGCTGTGATGCCAATTCTCAAGCGTACAGAGAAGAGGCTCGCCAGAAACACAGATCTAGCTGATATCCATAATCACCTGATAGAAAAGTTAGTGACCGCTGGTTATGTTAGAATCCTGACTCCAGACGACATCAGCACAAGCACAGAGTCTTGGTATTTCCCTCATCATGTTGTTGAACACAATGGGAAGCATCGACTAGTGTTCAACTGTTCGTACAACTCAGCTGGTATATCACTGAACAATTACCTGTTACCTGGCCCTGTGTTGGGTCCAGCATTACTCGGAGTACTTGTGCGATTCCGACAGCATCAGGTCGCAGTATCTGGAGATATACAAGCAATGTTTCACCAGGTGCGTGTCCTGCCCAGGGATAAACCACTACTACGCTTTATCTGGCGCAACATGGAGACATCAGTTGAACCAAACACATACGAGTGGCAAGTACTTCCCTTTGGGACTACCTGCAGTCCATGCTGTGCTACTTATGCCCTTCAGAGACAAATTATTGACCATACGGAGAACGATGGAGAACTTTCGGAAGCAATCCTGCAATCGTTCTACGTTGATAACTGTCTGCACAGTGCACCTACACCTTGGGAAACCAAAACACTGGTAACTGAACTGAGAAACGTCCTTGCAACTGGTGGTTTTAACATAAGACAGTGGTGTTCCAATGTGCCCTCTGTTGTTGGAGATCTTCCTGCGGATGCTAAGTCAGATGCTTGTGAATTGTGGCTGAACTTCGGAAAGGAAGACTCGCTAGAAGCAACTCTTGGTCTTCAGTGGCAGTGCAAGAGTGACATGCTTTGCTACAAGTTCCGCCAGATTACATACCATCAGCTTAACATGAGAGTCATGTACAAGATCTTAGCCAGCCAATATGATCCCTTGGGATACCTTTCACCTTACCTCGCCAGAGCAAAGATCATTGTGCAAGATCTGTGGAAAGGCAAAGTAGATTGGGACACTACTATTGAAACAGGAGAATCTTATGACAAATTGAATGCATGGGAACGTGAACTTGTGGACATTAAATTGGTGACAGTTCCACGATGCTACACTCCTGACATTGACCTGTGTGATATAGCAACGAGACAGATAAATGTATTCTGTGATGCATCAGAACGTATTTACGGAGCTGTGGCCTATCTCCGCACAACAATGAAAGACCAGACTGTTAGTGTCACCTTTATTGCAGCTAGATCCCGAGTTGCACCAAAGAAACAACAAACTATTCCACGCTTAGAATTGTCAGCAGCACTGACTGGTGCACAACTAGCTGATGTTCTATTGAGGGAGTTGACGCTACCTGTCGAGAAAGTAATGTTGTGGAGTGATTCCACAACTGTGCTGGCATGGATTCATTCCGAGTCATGTCGATATAAAGTATTTGTAGGTACGAGAGTCGCTGAAGTTCAAACTCTGACTAAAGTGGAGAATTGGCTGTATGTGAACACAAAGGACAATCCTGCTGATTGCATTACACGAGGACTTACAATACAAGAACTCATTCAAGACTCAAAGTGGTCTTGTGGTCCTGCTTTCTTGTACGAGCCACCTGAGAAATGGACTAGCCCAGTAGTCAAACCTGTGTTGACAGACAACAGTGAAGTTAGGAACTCCTTCTGCGGAGCTATATTCACTAAAGCCTCAAAGCCATTGTTTGACGACAAACCGTATGACAGTTGGAATGATCTGGTCGTCACGTCAATTGCCAAGCTACATGGGGCGGCCGATTCAAAAAGAATTTCCGACACTGTGGATCAAACTGAGAATGTGGAGAATAAAGTCTACCGACAAATTCAGGAGGATTCTTTCCCAGAGGAGATATCGAACCTTGCCAGTGGGAAGGAGATTCAGCCAAGTAGCCGATTACTCCCCCTCAGTCCTGTGTATGACAGTGAATGTGGTCTCATTCGAATAGGTGGACGGTTAACAAATGCGGATTGTCTTTCAGATTCTGTTAAACATCCCATCATCTTAGATCCACACCACCACCTCACCAAGTTACTCATCCAGAAGTATGATGAGGATCTTAAGCACCCTGGACCAGAGAGAGTGTTGGCTGAGATGAGACGGACATTCTGGATTTTACGAGGCAGAGAAGCAATCAAAAAGCACCAACATAACTGTACAGAATGCCAACGATGGCGGGGTAGACCTGTTGTTCCCAAAATGAAGGACCTTCCTAAAGCCAGGCTTCGACTCTACAAACCTGTGTTTTATTCCACCGGAATAGACTGTTTCGGACCGATGTCTATCAAGATTGGCAGACTTGTTGAGAAGCGGTGGGGAGTTCTTTTCAAATGTATGACCACCCGTGCTATTCATTTAGAGTTGTTGGACAGTCTCAGTACTGATGCTTTTTTATGGCTTTCCGGAGATTTATCTCAAGGCGAGGCAAACCGTTTGAAGTCCTGTCAGACCAAGGTACAAACTTTAAGGGAGCTGATGCAGAACTTCAAAGAGCCTTTTCTATGATGGAACCAGTTCTGATTGACAGACTTTCTGAACAGAAAATTCGCTGGAAGTACAATCGTCCAAACTCTCCACACTTAGGTGGAGTTTGGGAACGTGAGATCAAGTCGTTGAAGTCTGCATTGAGAGTTATACTCAGAGACCAGTGTGTGACCGAAGCGGTACTCCATACTGTTTTGGTTGAGATAGAAGGTATTTTAAACTCTAAACCTTTAGGGTATACTTCTTCTGATGTGAGAGACATTGATCCAATCACACCAAACCTGTTGCTTATGGGAAGACGCGATCCTTCGTTGCCGCAGGTGGTGTATCCAGTGAGTGAACTTATGGGGCGGCGGCGCTGGCGTCACAGTCAAGTGATAGCGGACCAGTTTTGGGTTCACTTCATCAAGTACTACTTACCTGACCTACAACTACGTCGAAAATGGACGAAGGAGACCGGTGAACTTACCTGTGGGGACATTGTACTGATGGTGGATCCACAGCTCAGCAGAGCTCAGTGGCCAGTTGGGAAAATTGTACAGACATTTCGGAGCAGTGATGGTCGAGTTAGATCGGCTCGAGTGTGTGTGGGAGACAAACATTACGAGAGACCTGTTGTCAGCCTTGTGCGATTGCCTGAACTTTCGGACTAACGCCATTTGTGGATCAGATTCAAATTAAGTCCCTTAATTTGGGGCGGCTGATCTGAATGACATTATTCCTTCATTAACTCCTATTTCGTTTCCTTGTACTGAATCATTTTCCACTCGTCAGTTGCAGTCTTAAATGCTTCGATTCCTAATTTTCCATGTAACCAAAACTTCCTGCCTGTCCATGCTCACTCCGAGAAACGTTACCTGTCCCGGGAGAATGAATAAGAACATTCTCGTCAGTAACCCATGTTTGTCAGAAGTGAAGTGAATAAAACAATTTGCCAAGTAACCTTATCTTCAATGAAGTTGTCGTTGGTAAAAGGCACATGTGTTCATGAGTTAAATGGGCGCCAACTTCACCCCTCTGAATCATTCTTATTTTGGTAGACGAAGCATTTGTTCATGAGTGAAGCTGACTTTGGTAAGAGGCACATGTGTTCATGAGTAAAGTTCACTTTGGTAAAAGGCACAGGTGTTCATGAGTTAAATGGGCGCCCACGTCACCCCTCTGAAACAAATGGTCACGATACATTTTTAGTTTGGTAAAGGAAGAATGTGTTCACGAGTGAAGTTGACTTTGGTAAAAGTCACAGATGTTCATGAATAAAGTTGGTGTTGGTAAAGGCACAGGTGTTCATGAATTAAGTTGGTGTTGGTAAAAGGCACACGTGTTCATGAATAAAGTTGGTGTTGGTAAAAGGCACAGGTGTTCATGAATAAAGTTGGTGTTGGTAAAAGGCACAGATGTTCATGAATAAAGTTGGTGTTGGTAAAAGGCACAGGTGTTCATGAATAAAGTTGGTGTTGGTAAAAGGCACAGGTTCTCATGAATAAAGTTGGTGTTGGTAAAAGGCACAGATGTTCATGAATAAAGTTGGTGTTGGTAAAAGGCACAGGTGTTCATGAATAAAGTTAACACTGGTAAAAGGGAGCAGATATTCTTAACATAGAGTCGTGTTTTTGTCTTTGATAGAAACAGGGATATATCACCGCTGGAACCCTCAAGATAATCAACCAGTGATCACGATAGTTTCCCTTCGGTTTCTTTTACCAAACGAGGGCGGTAGGGTAGACGTGTGGCCAAAGTCTTCGTCCGTCACGCCGAATACGTATCCCCCATATGAGTACAATAGGCCTTTTCAAGATCAAAAAAGATAGACACAGCGTGTTGTTTATTAATGAGTGCGTTTTTAACAAATGATTCCAAACGCACTAAGTGATCGACAGTACTTCTGTTTTTACGGAAACCACATTGTATATCTGTTATAAGGTTATTAGTTTCCAAGTACCAAACAAGTCGATTATTTATCATGCGTTCCATGGTTTTGCAAACACAGCTTGTTAGTGAAATAGGTCGGTAATTTGACGGATCTGTATGATCACGTCCAGGTTTAGGTATTGGTACAACTATAGCGTCCCGCCATGAGGAAGGAAATTCCCCTGACGTCCAAATATCATCAAAAATATGTAATAGCGTTTCTAAACATGATTCTGGTAAGTGCTTCAGGAGTTGATAATGTATGTTATCAGCTCCTGTAGCAGTATCGTGAGCTTGATCAAGAGCAGTATGGAGTTCATGAATAGAAAATGTTTCATTATAATCTTCCCCCATTATCTGAATGGAAATTAATAGTTTTCTTTTCTTCTTGTTTTTTGATATTGTTGGAATTTAGGCACATAATTAGAAGAGGAAGAGTGTTTAGCGAGAGTTTCACCCAGTTTATTTGCAATATCTGATTTATCGGTAAGTAATTGATCTCCATGTTTAAGATGATGGACACTAGATTTAGTACCTTTACCTTTAATTTTCTGGACCATGTTCCAAACCGTGGACATGGGCGTTCGAGAATTTATTTTAGATACATAATTTTGCCAAGATTGGCGTTTATGCTGCTTAAAGGTACACCGCGCTTTAGCATGTAAAATTTTAAATTTATTTAAATTGTGCACCATAGGATGGCGACGGAAATAATGTTCAGCTTTTTTCCGCGCCTTCCTAGCTTGTTTGCATTCATCGTTGAACCATGGTTTCCGAATATGTGGAACCACAGAGGACTTTGGTATACAATAGTCAGCTATGATATTCAGTTCATAAGAAAAGTCTTTTATAGGATCAGGAACATCTATAAAAAGTTCAAGTTTAAGTTTGGCAGAACAGAGAGTTTCATATAAAGGCCAGTTAGCCTTTTTAAAATTCCATCTTGATGATGGAGGAACATCAGATGGGTTTACAGGTTTTAGTATTGTGGGAAAATGGTCACTACCATAGAGGTCGTCGTGGACTGACCATTCAAACTCATTCAATAGGTTAGAATCAGTAATTGACAAATCAAGAGCTGAATACGTTCCTGTGCCAGGGTGTAAATATGTGTTTGAACAATCATTATATATGCATAAATCATTGTTTGAAATAAACTCCTCCAGTATTTTACCTTTAGCGTTCAGAGTTGTACCGCCCCAGATTGGGTTGTGGCCATTAAAGTCACCCATAATAATACAGGGTTTCGGAAGTTGATTGTAAAGGGTTTGAATATCAGCCTGCTGAAGAGCTGAAGATAGCGGAATATACAGCGAGCAGAGAGTAAAAGCAACGTGCAGAGTAATGCGTACTGCAACGGATTGAAGATTGGTTTTAAGCAAAACTGGGCTTTGGAGTACATTATGCCGTACAAGGATGGAAGATCCTCCCGTAGCCCTATCACCCGGGGGAGAAAAAGAATGATATGCATTGAACTGACGTAAACTGAAATTATCTGTCTGCTTTAGATATGTTTCTTGCAGACAGAATGCTGATGGACTAAAGTCCTGGACCAATAGGTGTAAGTCGTTAAAGTTGGTCTTCAGTCCTCGGCAATTCAACTGTATAATATTCTTTAGGGAAGCTATCTTTTGGGTGGAATGATTTGGGATCTACCCCGTACCTTTTTAGAGGGCGATATGCTATGCGCCCGTGGCTCGATGTTTTCAGCCACATCCATTCTTTCCAGAGATCCAAACTTATTAAATAGTTGGATATGATTATCTGGCCCCTTTGAAATTCTATCACTTAGATGTCCTTTCGAACATTCAGTTCTTGCTTTGGTTTGCTTCCTATTTCTGTGAGACTTTTGTGGGTTTTGTGCTGGTGATTGATTCTGGGTGAAAGACGATGATTGGTCTTGTGATAGAGTCTGTATGTCAGAAAGTGAATCCGATGTTTGAGTTGATTGTTCATTTGAGTATATTTGAGGTGCTTCAGATTTCAACCAAGTCAAGTCTGTCTGGCAGTCTATAGATGATGTCTTGACTTTAGGGTTTGTTTCAGGGGCTATCTGAACGATAGACGCATACGTTCCTGTGCCTTCCCGAGATTGAACAAGTTTCTTTGCATCAGAGAAACTGATGTTTCTGGAAAATTTAATTTTATTTATTTCCATCTGTTGTTTCCAGATAGGACAGTCTTTGGAGTATGACGGGTGACTCCCTGAACAATTGGTACATTTTTTAACATCATTGTCACAGTCTTCCGTTGTGTGAGTTTGCTCACTGCAGTGAGCACATGTGACAGATCGTGTACACGTATTGACGCCATGGCCATATTTTTGGCATTTGAAACACCTCAGCGGGTTGGGAATATAAGTGTCAACTTTGATATTGCAGTAACCTGCTTTAATTGTTGTTGGGGCAGTCGGTGTTGAAAATGAAAAAAGGTATGTATTAGTAGGTTGTGTTTGTGAGTTCTTTCGTGTGGAGAACCGTTTAACATACAGAACACCTTGATCTCGCATCTCAAACACTATGTCAGCTTCAGTCATATCAGTAAACAACTGATCCCTGTCACGAACAATGCCTTTACTGGTATTGAGTGTTCTATGAGCTGTAACTGAAACAGGAACACCGACAAACGAAACTATTGACATGAGGTTGTTGGATTGTTGCTTCCTGTTGCATTCTATTAGCAAAGAACCTGATCGCAATCGTCTGATGTTTTTAACCTCGCCAGCTATGCCTTGAACACCCTTAGATATTGTAAAAGGGTTCAGCTAGAGAGGTGGTTTTGTCAACTGTCTCAATCACTAGAAACCGTGGCCAATGTTCTAGAGGCGTTAAAGGCCGTTGCTCATCTTCATTATCCAGAGGACGTTTGGTTTTTTTGTTAGGGGTTTGGTAATCCATGTTTGTTGGTAATAAGGTTCATCATCCGAGCTCCCCACCCACCATGGAGTATCATAAAGACAATGCTAATAACAAGTGGATCTCCGACTTCCAGCACCAGGGATACCCGGATGATATACTCCAGCAGAAGAATTAAGGAATTAATTAATCTACCAGATTGGCCCATGAGCCACCGCCTTCTGGGTATATGACTCTAGGCAAATTACAAAATTG